TGTTCATATTAAGAATTAAGATGCATTCAACATCTTACACTGGTGATCAGCACAGCTTCACTAGCAGTAAAAATCCCTCTCTACCACCCCCCACCCTCAAAAGTTTTAAAATCCAGTACAGTCCAGGAAAGAGAGAGGCATAAAAACCAGAGCGACTTTGCAAAATCAATTCAGTGTTCCTGTTCACTGCTAACGTCTTGCCCTCTCTTGCTTTCTATCAGCCTGCATGAATGGCAGGTCCATCCGACCATGTAAAATTTTTTATGTCCTTTTAATATTGTATCAAATCAGTGATTTTTCTTTAATCTTATTTCTAATATCTCACTGGGAATGAAAATGGCTAACAGGAGTTTTCTTCCTGCAGTAATAACTTCTACACTAAAGAGCATTGTCAATATGATGTGTAAGATTTTGTGTAAACTGATTAGATAGAATATTGAAGTTGAATAATAAAGAACCAGTTGAAATAATTACTCAAGTCACTCTTCCTGTTAAAAGAATTGCTCTTTATTGCTTCCTTGCAGCCTAAGAATGTCATAGGAAACTTTCTTTTTACATCAGATGCTGAAAATGTTGTGCAGTAATGCATTAATAAATGTTTTTCCAAGAAATCTCTTTGTTCATCAGAATAAAAGTGACTACTATCATTTATGTTAATCTTTAACTCCACTTTTGAAAGAAATGTATTATTCTGGGACTTTTGGCTAATCATCTGTCACCTTTTTCTTCCTTGTTTCCCATCAACCCCTGCACTGTGGGCTCATTCTTCATAAAGGCTGCTGAATAGAATGGCCGCTGATGAACGGCATCTACCGTCCAGCTGTGGGTCCTACATCAAGACAGAGCCATCCAGTCCCTCCTCGGTCATTGACACAGTCAGCCACCACAGTCCCAGCGGAAACTCGGACGCCAGCGGCGGCTATGTCAGCACCATGAACAGCCACTCCAACGGCCTGGACTCTCCACCAATGTTCACCCCCGGCGGGCTAGGCGCCGGCTCCTGCCGTAAGCGCTACGATGACTGCTCCAGTACCATCATGGAGGACTCATCCATAAAATGCGAATACATGTTGAACTCCCTCCCCAAGAGGCTGTGCCTGGTCTGTGGAGATATAGCCTCAGGGTATCACTATGGGGTGGCTTCTTGTGAGGCCTGCAAAGCCTTTTTTAAAAGGACAATACAAGGTATTTCCACTACTCTCCCCCTACCCTTATATCATCCCATATTGACACATCAACAGACACAAAAACACACAATACATGAAATATCTGGTATCAGAGCAACACTAAAACATGCTTATGAAAATAAAATCACTAAAGATTAATACAGTAGAGACAATATACATACATATAAAAAAAAAGAACTTTGAACAAACATTAGTTTGACAATAAAATGAAGTAAAGGGCATGTTTTGGTCTTATCTTTGTGGTGAATTTTAGGGTTTGGTCATTTATTCCCTCTACTATTTTGCACCCTCACCCGGTAATTTTCAAACTATTTCATATTCATGTAGTTAATCATTAAAAGTCATATGATCTATTTTGTTTATTTTGCTTAATATTGAGGAGAAGTGGTTCTAAACAGTGTATATTGATTGTAAATACAGCAGAATTTGTGGTGACATCATTTCACCCTCCTGATATTTCATACCTTTGCAGCTTTTGTGGTCATTTCAATTCCAGCTTTTTGGAAAATTTAAATTATGCCCTCTAAGGTTCTGTGCGATCCTCTCTGACATCAAATTGTTCTGTTTTATGCCATAACCTACCACAAAGAAGTGTGGTAGTCTTCAGTGCAAAATACCTTAAGGCAAGGCGTCAAAACATATCATATGTCAGGAGACTCAACATTCTCAGAAGAACAATAAAAATGGAATCAGTTAGGTTATACCTGAAATTTAGGTATTTCATGACTGTGTTAGCAGAAATTAGTGATAAACTAAGAGCACAAAATGGGTGTATCTGTTGGCAAAGGGGGAATTAAACCGGACACAAGATTACAGTTTGACACCCAACCCAATCCATCTCAATAGGAAACATTAGATCATGGAACGTTTCTTTTAATCATCATTAATAGAAGCAGGAATGAGACCTAGTGCAGAAGACTTCTTTAGACACCCTAAAGAGTCAGGTGTTAAATATCAGAACGTGCAAAAGAACTAAATGACAAAGGAGGAGAATGGCCAGGACATATAATTGTTATAAAATAAAAACTGTGGTGTCTGTAACGATCGGTTGACATTATTCCACAGAGGTCAGACTGACAGAGAGGAGGTGCTTTTTATCCAGATGCAAAAGGGAGGAGAAAGATACTTTAATACTCCTGACCTTTTTGTTTGCGTGTGTTTTTGCATATGGTTAGCTGGAAGACACAATGTTTTGAAGCTTCTCATTAGAAAGGCAATGAAAGACCCCCCTCTGTGAAACTGTGCGCTCTGCTCTAGATTAATCAGGAGGAAAAAGATATTGTTGAGCCTGGAAAAAAAAATCTGCACAACAGGCACAGCTGCTCAGGTCAGGACTAAGCTCTGTTGGCTTAGCAGTGGAATACATGCAAAGGGAAAAATCAAATAAAAAAGGTAGATGAGCCAAATGGGGATTTCTATTACTTCTTGCATTAACGTTTCTCTGTAAATTTTTTATCAGTAAATGACTGCAGGAATTACATGGCAAGCATGTCTGTCTGTCTTGATGCTAGGTGTTGATTTTGGACCTGGCTGCCCTATCAGCTTTAGACAGTCTATGTACCTTTTGCAGACAAACAAAAGCATTAGGCCAAATCCTCCTGTTTACTCATGCTGCCATCAGCAATCCCGTCTATTGACAAAAGATGAACATTTTCTCTCAAGTAAGATAACAGAGCTTTTGTCCCCTTAGTAAAAGTACACTCACGGCAACACAAATGAACAGAAAGGATGCATTGGGGAAAGAAAGAGACGTCTTAAGTGGAGCAATGGTCCAAACAATTAAAAGCAGAGTACCAGGAGGAAAAAAATGGAACGCTCCTCTTTCTTCCGCCTCACTTTGCATTGTCGATTTGAAATCCCTCTCTTTCTCTTCTTGGAGGGCTGCCTGTAATGGAGCTAATCTGCCGTCGTTTGTCCGAGCCACAGGAGTTTTGTCAATAACAATCAGCGTTTGGAAAGTGTAATTAAGGCCGAGGCTTTTCATTAGGAGGAAGGGAGGGGGCTGTCTCCAGGGATGGGCATGCCAATTAGAAACTCAGGCACGCGTCGCCGGGTAATTTCAGCGAAAGGAGGGGAAAAAAACCCAGGACTTCTTTAGATTGGAGAGGGACCCTGCTGCTCCTTCAGAGGAGAGGAGGGGAGGCTTAATGGCATAATAATCAGACAGGGGTCCCAAGCAGAGGAGGCAGGAGGACGGAGAGACTTTTTGGAGGGGGAGGGAGGTAAAAGCATTCTAAAATGATAAAAATAAACACACGCAGGATTGCTGGAGGAAAAAACCCAGTCAGTAAAACACACTTTCTAGAGCCCTTCAAAGAATGAGAGGGTGCTGTTGATGAGAACTGATTAATTAAAGGAATAACGAGGCAGTCAAGGGTGGAGTGCGAGGCTGCCCACTCTAATGAGAGGAAAACAAAGGAGCTGTCTTTTGCAGGACTTTATCACGTTTCTAGGATAAGACTCGGGGCAAACATGATAAGTTAATGTTAAGCATTTACATGACAGCTGCGCGATCACCTTGCGCTCACCTTGTGATATACCTTTTAGCAAATTAAGAGTTTTTTCAGGGGGTATTGCAGTTATATTTTAAATGATTTCCAGAATGTATGCAATAACTCTTTGTTATCCTTCTCTTCCTGGCTACATCTTCAGCTATTGCCCCTTTCTTTTCAACAACAGCCGCTGGCAAATCCATCTTCTGTCACCAATTCATATAGAGAAAGGCCCCTTGAACTTATATGTAGGAATAGTTGCATTACTCAAGGCCAGGCCCAAATTAATGTCAACCTTTATCTTCATCCATCCCAGAAATATCCCTGTTCTCATTGCTTCACTTATTGCCCCCCTATCTCCCCGTCTCACGCGCTCTACCAATCAAAAACATAAATGCCTTATTGAAGCGTGTTTTCTTCCCATTTTTAACCCAAGTGTAAAATTGCTTGAAAACCAACTGAACTCGGTGGCCCTCTTTTATGTGAAGTAATAGACCTTGACAGTAAGCCTGTAAAAGTCAGTTTAGATTTTGATGAGAAATACCTGCCATTTTACTGTAATTTACTTACAAGACCTGACTTTCCCCCTCTGTGCCCTGGCATGGGTCCTGAAAAGCCATAAAAGAGATTGAGACAGATACTTATCAAGAGGGAAAAAAGGAGGGAACTCCTTTTTTTTTCTTTCCCTTTACCCTGTAATGTTATTGGTAACTATACTATAACCTCTCAGAAAACAGATAAACTTGGGCATGACCTCTTGGGTTAAAGTGCTTCATAATAAAGGATTCATTTGTTAAAGGGGGAACTTTCCTTGGTGTTACATTTAGCATCTTTCAAGCAAGGACTAGAATGCTGCATCCGTCAGAATGGCAGTTGCAGCATTCTCATAGTGTTTAGTTGTTTATCTCTATCACTGTTTCTCTGTTTCTGGTTTGGCTGAGTACCCAAAATGCTGCCACACAAATATTTGATAGATTTTAAGTTGTCAGAGGCTTTTTTTAACATTAATGTATCAAAACTCTTTTTTATATTTGGTCAGTCCTGCATCATCAAGTCTTTGAAAGGGCCAGTTGGAGCTGTATAAAAATAACTTGTAAAACTTCCATTACAGCCCTTTATTTTGCATTTCTAGTCACTTGTTGAACCTTAAAACGGCATATTTGTCTAATTAAGAGCATGGTTTGCCTTTTTGGCTCTTAAGGGGCCAGATAAATGGCCATGATAGGCCAGATTTAGCTTCCGGGCCTTGAGTTTAACACGTACGTTAGAATGTTGTTGTTACTTTTTTATCCTTTATTTTATTTCTCTGTTTCTTACTTCAAAGTAAGATAATTGGATACAGATTTTCAAGTTTAAGGAAATCAATTTAATCTCCTGGGCCTCCCAACTGTCCCATAAACCATCGGTGAAAATTCTCAGTCATCCAGATCATAGTCATTCCAAAAAACAAACCATTGGACTTGTTTTCCAAGTTTGAAGATGATTTGCTTCCCATCTAGAGAGCTTTCTCAATTAGGCCAACCTAAGCCATAACAAGGCTTTTGTTTGGGCTGCTCTATAAGCCTGGAACTCAACACTATTCCAGACATTTTGAATTGAGAAAGCTTCCTGGATGGGAAGTGAAACGTCTTCAAACTTAGAAAGCAGGTCCAGTGGGTTGTTGTTTAACTTTTTTGGAATGTTTTATAAATCATACAACCAGAAAAACTAGCATCTGACAGCAGGTGGATAACATAAGAAATGCTGTATTTCGTATTTCTCTTGTACCGCTAAAATATAATCTAAGCTGCTTATAGAAAGTTCTTGCCCAAGGATGCCAATTCCTGCAAAAATATTAGTCTGCCTCCTTGCTGTAAAGTTATTAAAACAGTGTTACTTCATTAACCTGCTTTGTTTGCTCTCCATCCTTTATTAGAGTCTAAGATTAACTCACTCTTGTGGATTTCAGTGGCTCCAATTAAAAGAGTCAAATTGTATAGTTGATATATTAATTTAATCCTAGCTGCATAGATTTGTAACAAGTGAACATAATTCATGCGCTAAAGAAATTAGCATAATTAATCTGGCTTTATCATATCAGTTAAAATTAAAAGTATTGTCATTATCTTATTTTATACAACTTAGTTTAATGTTTGCTTTTATTGTGTTGGCATTAATGGAGTTCCTTACACTGTTAGTATCTTACATTTATTTAACAGTAACTTAGGTCTAGATAAATTTGAAGGTATATTAGGTTATGTTTTGACTTCACCGAGACGATTTGTATAGTGATACCTAAACACTCTCTAATCTAAAAATAAATCAAACACAGACGCGGAGAATTAGTTAATCCATCCTTCGCACTGCAGTGAGAGATGAGAAGCCCCCTCTGAGCAGAACATCAGATGAGCAAGGAGCTTGAAAGGACAGGTGGACACAGCAGTGTGTTTGTTTTTGTTTCTGTGGCACCAAAATGGCCTTGGTTTCCCACTGGGTGAAAAAAAAAGCATACTGTCAGAAAGCTACATTTTTGGCCACTCAAACCAACCTGCAACCTCTATGTATGAGGATTCAAACTGAATTATTGCCTGTTTTAATACAAATTATATATTTATTTCATTAAAGGGGATCTTGCTGATTGGTTAGTGTATCTGGAGAAGCACAAAAGACCAGAGTATGAAGCCCCTTCAGGACAGCGCTGATTGTCTCCCCGCCTTATGGGAAATGATTTGGATTATTATGGTGTGTTCTGCTATGACAACAGAGAAAAACAGACAGAGGGAAGGCAATCAGAGCTCATCAGCCGCCTCCCTCACACCTTTATTTACCCCAATCCCAACGAGATGATGGGAATTAGCATAATGATTTCTAAACCAGATAAAAAGAGGAATTTCTAATTATTTATAACATCTTGGGACCCTCCTCCTGATCTGTCCAATAATGTTAACATAATTGCATAAGTTGTCAAAGGATGTTGAAGGGCTACTGGAGGAACGCTGGTTGAATATTACACAGTTTCCTTACAGAAATGCAAAGTGAAGATCATAGCAGCTTATGGTACTGGGATGTAATCCTAACATGTTTATGTGGAGAACAAAGAGCTGCTCCATTTAAAAAATCTAAAAATCAAAGGGTAGAAACTTTTCAATTTCAAAAGCTTTAAAGCTGAAAGTCCTCTCAAGATGAAGATGATTCAAATTCCTATTCTTGAAGAAACTATTACACTGAAACCCCCTATTGAAAGGCCATGAATACAATAAAATGTAGGGAGACGTGCAGAGCCCGAGTTACTCCCATACATATCATGCCCTTTCTGTTACTAATGCTAGAGCAGAGCAGGCTCTTTTATTGTACAGCAATGAAAATCTTTCTCAAGATGCTGCAGCTGAATAATGCATAAGGTCTCTTGGCTGCACACTATGTAAATAGTCAACAATAGCAACAGTGGTAACAACAGGTTTGGGTCTGCAGGAGTATTATGTAAAGTGGTCAGGGTGGTGTGTCTGGCTCTCTAGCCTGCTACCGAGGCAGTACCAGAGCCCCCATGAGCAGAGGGGTGGGGGGAACATGGCCCATGCAGGGGCCTGGAGGGGACATGTATAGAATTAATGAGGCCAATTTAGTGTTAGACTGGGCGGCATCTACTGAACGGTCCTTAAGGACCATTGTAGCTTTTCTCTGCTCACTACCCATACTCTCTAGATCCTCCTCTTCTTGTCCTTCAGTTCTCACTTTAAAAAAAAAATCACCTGAGCCCCCCTGACCATTAGATCTGTGGTGGTAGGAGATTCCAAGCTACTTACCTTGAGTAAATATTTTACAGCAATGTTTTATTTAATTAAATATCTACACCAGATATGCACAACATGTTTGATATTTTATTTTATTTCAAAATACCAAAGCAGTAACTGTTTATGCAAGGGTATTTATGTAATTATCTGTTTGTCTGTTTATAGATATTTAAATATTTAAACACATACTTTAAAATATACAGACTGAACAACTTCTACATTTAGATATATTTTTTTATTGTGTAGAAGATGCTATTATTTCTTTTCTGTTGTTTTTCTACTCTATATACAGTAACTCAAGTATTAGAAGACAGCAGTCAACAGACAGTGTTGTCAGTACTGTATAGTTTTAAAGGGTTAAAATTTAATGGTACTGGGTATTTTCAAATTTGCTTTAGTGAGAGTGTCTGTTGTAATTCAACTTGTTAGATGTAGTATCATACTGAGTTTGTGAAAAAGGTAAAATAAAATAAAAAATTTGGAATAAAAACTTCAAACAGATATTATAATACATTAATTTTAACAAAAAGAAATACAATATCAAAAAGTTCACATCCATAAGCTACAACACTACGATAGAGTTTTAAATGTTTATAGTTTCACCAAAGACAGTTATGATAGTTATTGTCATTTTATTATCTTTCATGACACTATGTTGTAGTTAGGGTAGTTGGGGCAGCTGTTGATATCAAACTTCTTGAACATCTGTGACTTGCAAGCCTGAAATTATTCTGACAAGAGTGGCCAAAGCTTTTTATTTTTATTTTTTCTACATGTTGTCATTTGTGCAATTGCATTGTAAATGGTCCATTCCTGTGCTTTCCTGCCTCTCGTAGTTGTTTTGAAATGATCCGTCGGCTTATGATCAGGTGAACGGGTTGATTAATGATCATACTTATCTACGCCATATAGAATAGCGCAGTAACATAGATGTTTTTTAACCAGAAAAAAACAAAAAATAGCAGCAGCACTTTGAGGAACCACAGACAGCTCATTTTAAACAGAACATTTTATTACAATTTTAGCGAGTAATGACATCTGTCCAATCTCTCCAAGTCACACAGATATATTTGATCAACCCTGTGGTTACTGCTTCTCCTCCTTCTCCCGTGTCTAGTGTAGTGTACACGTGCACCGCTGCTTTAGCATTTGCACACTGTTACCCAAATATTGCATCAACCTCCTAATCACAACCTTAATAAATCTAATGCAAAGGCAAAGGCTGTGGTTATTCTATTATCTCTTAATGCTGGATGTTTCTCTTGACACAGTTCAATACAATATTCCAATCCTTAATCGAAATTCATACCCATTATTCTACCCAGGAACCTTTAATCAGTGAGACAAAAACTTCAAATATATGGCAGCCCTACTACCAATGTACGTTAATATTCTCATGTGAGGACCGATATAACATGGGTTTTTCCAACGTGTTAGAATACATGGCAAGATGGAAAACAGTTAGACAGCAGCATTCGCTTCCAGACTATGGCTTTGCCTTTCTTCCACAACCTCAAATATTTCCAAAACATGAGAAGTATTCTTTTTTGTATGTAAGGAAAATGGGTTTTACCTTTTTTGAGGCAAGTTTTTTTTGAGTAGCCATATGTACAAGCACAGCATTTTATGATCGGATCGAAATGTATTCAGACCTTAAAACTAAATCTTATTGTTCTGTATACAGTACATCGGCATATCTGATCAGAATAAAATTGCAAATCAGACCAAAAATGTAAAAATGCTAGTTGGATTATTGTGACATGTGTTTGATCAAAGTGGAAATGCATCCACATGCATGCAGACCAGTTGGTTTGTCAATCAGCATAAACCAACCCTTTTAGTTGGATTATAATTGCCTCTCGATCCTGACGAATTTGATCTGAATATTCCAACTGGCATATTTACAATTACATAGCACACGTAAGTATAGTCAGCCATTGATTCTGATTACTTGTTCATATAAGGGTATCTAATAGGTGGGGCAGGGGAAAGATTAAACCATTGTGATTATATATATTTTAACCTCATTCTTTTAAAGTCTTTGTATATACTTTGTTACTACAAAGGTGACTTAAGATACATTAGTAGTTCAATTACATGTAAAACCTACTTATTTGAACCATTCTTTTACAGGACTCTTTATTTATATTCTATTTTTTTCTTACCTACTCTTTTTTATGATTTCCAGGTAACATAGAATACAGCTGTCCCGCCACAAACGAATGTGAGATCACAAAACGGAGACGCAAATCATGTCAGGCTTGTCGCTTCATGAAATGCCTCAAAGTGGGGATGCTCAAAGAAGGTAAGAAGAGTAAGAACATTTTTTATTAATTTTACACACATCTACAGTACGCAAACATCTCTAACCTTGCACCCCTCACGTTCACGATGATTGCTCTGCTACATCCCTGATTGCTGCAGCAATCAGCCCGCTGTGTTTTTCTTGCGCTGTCTAACACAACCCTTTGCCCTCCCTCTACCTACACAGCAGTAAATAATGTGCAGTTGAGCTGGGGACAGAAATATGCTGAATAGGTTTCTCCTGCGGCCTGAGTAACAGAAATGTAACAGTATTCCACTTGGAAAGGCTCATGGAGGGTCCCTCAGCACACACTCGCCACAGTCTCAGCTCTCCCTGGTATATTGATCCACTAAATGTTTTCCGAACATCTCAGCTCTCTTCCTGTGGATTTTGTTTAAGTCACGCCATCAGGGAATTCAGTGACAATTAAACATGCTCCAGATGGATTTGTCTGGCCACGGTTTCTCTCCCACTAAATATCACCACTAGCTGAAACCCCCTGAGACCCCGAGTCTTGGCTGCTATTTTAGGGAAGGCTCCTCTGCTTTCACTGCATTATACATCCTCACCTGCCTGACCTCTTTATCCATCCTCACTACTTCATTGCTGTTTTCAGGCTTTAAGTTAAGAATCTAATATCTGAAAATAGGGTACAAATGACTGTAAGTTAATCTCAATTTAAAAACTATCAATATTTGTATTTGTTTTAAGCTTATTATTTATATCACTCCATTTTATTATACCACTGTCATACAGCAAATAAGTTAAATGAATTTTCAAATTCACACAACTATATAAACACCTCCTTACTTATATTTGGTAAAAACAAATATATCAGCAATTTGTGGGAGAAACTACATGCTGTTTCGTACTCTTCAACAGGTTACAACATAATTCGGGATATTATTATGGATACTCAAACTTTCTCTCTCAAAATTTCTCTCACTCCATCTAAATTGCCTCTCTCAGGTGAAAACAAAATTAGTTAGAATAATTTAGACATGTCTAGGAACTCTGCTGACATGACAATGAAACTGAGAGTATGCCCTAACTTTACTTCAGAATTGGCTGAAATTAGCAGGTGCGATATTGATCTGTTTGGCGTGTGAAGCATCATGGCGGTAGCAGCATGATGTGCGTTTGTTTTGCTGCTGTTAGTACACGTAAATCACCCAAAGCCTGTGGAATGATATAGAATAATAATATAAAAGCATGACTAGCACCACTTCTACAAAGTCCAAGACTTTGGGCATTTGTGTGGTTTTCTATATCAATAATTGAATTCTGTAATACGTTTATTTGATATTTTTTAACATTTTACCTAGATTTGAGTTGTATTGTAAGCCCAAAATTGATTTTGCACTTACTCCAGTTGTAAGTCTCTTGACTGCAACTATAACTGTACAGTCCCTAACATGTCTGCCTCATTTTTATATGTTTTAATAAAATACCCATAATACTTACTTGCTTTTTTTATCCATTCCAAAAATTATAATTTGCCTTAGTTTTAATAAGAAAGATGCACTCGTTCAATTAATACCAAGTCTTAATCAATATATGCATGAAATGCAAATATAATCTTTGGGTGTTTTTGGATGACTCAACATAACAACACATTTTTTAACCTTTTCAAAACAGGAATTGCATTTCGAGAAACATGACCTTTTTAATCTGTAGGGAGAAACAGACAAATACCTTGGTAGCTATGATAAACACATTTTTTACTTTTTAAATTGTCTGCCTAACTCTTAAGTCTATAGTCTCCTCTTTTTTTTTCTTCTTCTTCCTGTGTTTCTGCCATCTTACAGCAAGATTTATAGATGCATATATATTCAGGCAGCAGCCAGATCCAGCATGGTAGTCTGTATGGATCTGCAGCGCAGTAACAGAATCTCCTGGACTGCATATGACCAGATAAAGCCTCAGTGCCAGAAAGACAGAATAATCGCATTACTATCTGATAAAAAATTTATGCCAATATATCATACTGGAGAGTAAGAGACTACAAAATGATGTGGCAATGGCTATGAAAGAATGACCAGTGTAGGGTCAAAGTAAAAAAAAAAAAAAGTCAAATATTCACACCTCCACTGAGCCTTGGGTCTTCTGTGAAATCAGCATATTAGCAGAATGACTAAAAAAAACTTGCCATTTTTACAAAGTCCTCCTCACAGAGCTGCAGCTATTGTCATTGTGGGAGTGAAGATTAACACTGCAGTTATAAAACCACTCAGGATTTATTGATTTTTAGCCGCAATTATTAAATTTTTTTTCTCATGACTTATGAATAGATGTGCAGATTTATTTCTAAAGACCCATTTTGGTGTTTCAGCACTTTACCGGAGACCAAAGGCAAAGAATCACACACCGTCTGTGTCCGCTGTAAGCTCTCTGAAGCCAGCAGCTCAACACCATGCTTCGGCTCATCGTGCCGAGATGGCCACTGTTCATGTGACTGAGGATGCCTCTTACTTTAATTACTGAAGAAAGGTCACATTGTGTCACAATGGAAAGAATCATCTAAATATAACTCATTAAACTATTCATCCATTTTATAATTAGCAAACAAGTTTAAAGTGAAGTAACTTGAAGAATATATATCATATTACACTTCTATTAGCTGAAGCGATAATGACTTTTTTGTTATATGCGTAAGTGTATAAAGATAAATGTAAGGAAAATATTATCATCCAGATTACGAGAAATTCCCAAACCCTGTGCTTTTTCACCACACTTTCCTTTAACTGTATAGAATATTAGAAGTGATTGATGCAAGATTCTAATATCAGTGGCAACAGGTTTTTTCCTTTGATCAATGGAAATCGATCAGGGTGTAGGGGAGACGACCAGTCTCAGGAGTTTTCAGCCTTCAGCAGGCTTTCTTCCAGGTTTGAACTGTTTTAGTTTTAGCCAAGGTTCCAGAGAAAAGCATCTCTACAGCATAATGCTGTCTCCAACATATTCCAAGATGGGAAAGCTGTATTTTGGATGCTGTGCAGTGTTAGTTTATTGCCACACTTCTTTTGCAAGCAGCATATGGCTTCTTAAATGGTTTTTGTTCACCTTAAAGATATAGTGGAGGATGTTCTTTTTCAGGGTGCTTCAAAATAAGTGGTCCTCTTAATTGTCAATCATTCTGCTGACATGTTTAGGCCATCCAAAGTGCTGGTCCCCAGTTTTACTTACCGGTGGTGAGTCTAACATAGGGGAAAGATTCCAAATCTTCTTTTGGAAAGTAAGCTTGTATGAACGATGCAAACAGCAACTTTTAAACTGAGCGTGCATGAGGAGAAACAGGCTTGTGCATACACTTGCATGCATGTAATAGGGTTTCCCTTTTGGGAGCGGGTACAGGGATGTGCATGTGCATTTTTTTTTCTAAGTAGGTATGGAGTCTTTTCAAAAAATCGTGAAATCCTCCACTATACGTTTAACTGAGACCTTTGCAGCTAGCCAGATTCTCCCAGATTCCACATCCTGTGTGTTTGCTTTGCTCCACACATCTACGCCTTATGAAGCAACTCAGTTGTGGTGTTAATTAATGAGTGCAGTTCCACATTCTCTGGGACTTCTCTGAACATCACTGTCCTCCGACATACTCTCTCTCCTTCACTCTCCAAATATGGAACAACTACATTTTTCTACCTGACTCCAGCTGGACCTCTTGCACATGCTCTCGGTGCTCTTCAGAAAACTAGGAGTGGAGCTTGATGGTAGTTAGTGTTGCTTTCCACGGATTGATGGAGGCAGTCTCTTACATAACTGAGCAGAGGATGTGAAATCTGGGCATTACCAAGGCCCGGCTGAGGAGAACATCCCTAAAAAAATGCTGCTACCACTGTAGCTTTTTTTTCCCAAAAAGCAACTAGAACAAAAGTGCATGAGTAAAAGTTGTCCATTAAGATTCTTCCGCCTCCTCTGACTAATGCACTTGTTGTCCACTATACGGGATCATGCCTACATAGGTTTACAGTAATGCAAATATCTTTTTGGCATTATGATAAAATATTCACATAATAAATTGAATGGTGTTTTGTAAGGTGCGCAGATTGAAATACTGTGCTGTATTATACTACATGCACTATAAATAAGTCCAAAGGTCTTCGCCCTGAGAGTTACCCCACTAGGTACAGCTGGGTATGAATTTCGCAACCGAAATTTACACACAACAGCTAGGCTCATTGTGAAAGAAATTACACAGCATTACCCTGGGGTTCCACCAAACGCGTTAACGCCGTGGATCGTCCTTACCATGGATCTTCCGCACCGCAGATTCAACACAGAACCCGATTCCACTTAGAGCGGATCAGAGCAGAGCTTTAGACTACGCAAGGATTTTGTCATCGTGCAGTAGGATCCTAATAATCATTGCTGCATGGTGCCATATAAATTAATATTCTCTGGTGGCTCTGTGCTTGAGCCGTAGGTAATGTTGCTTTGATGTTTTAGGGTAAAATATGATCCACAGCAGAGTCCTGCATGGGTCTGATTTTTCAAAACTTTATCCGCCCACACTCGTAGAGTTCAGAACCGAGAACCGACCCGTTACCCACAGTTATCCCCATTTAAAATCCGTCCGGGACCGCACAGACCCATAAATAATAAGGTACGACCTGACTCAAGATCACAAAGTGTACACACAACCGTTTATAATAACAGAGGCAGAAAAGAACATTGCCTCATCCTCACATCCAGTGCGCGCTGCTCTCACAGATTAACAGCTATAAATTGGCCAAAGTAAGAAGCGTTGAGCATGAAAAATAGACCCACAGCATATTTTAGAGAAGCATCCATTGGACCATGCTTCTGGGACGCTCCAGGGACACTGTGGCTTGGCACGTGGAATTAACTGGAGTGGCTGCATTCAACTGCGGCAGTAAGGCTTGAATGCAGCGTGGACGATCCGCTGAGTTAACACAGGGTTTACACTGTATTTATTGAACTATTTTACCTACGTTGTGTAAATTAGCATCACAGTTTAATGATTGCAATTCTTTTCTGAACAAAGATGGTGAACTTGAAAGATGTTGAATATGTCTTTTCATAACAGCAACAGCAGACTAGCTATTCACAATAACCTGCAAAGGCTATGATGTCATAGTGAAAAGGATAGAAGGAATTTCTTTTTCAAACCTACATTGAACTATTTTACATCTCTCTCCTTCGGGATCAGAGTTGCGATTTAAGTCATGTGTATTCCTTGAGATTTTCCGTATATGAGGATTTTCGCTCATATTTCGCTGCAGCTAACCAGTGAATGGAGTGTCTGGCAACGGTGCCATTATTGCATTCTCTGGGGTCAGCAGAGGAGGAGGGGGAAATGTGTGACAATTTTCCGCTACCCCCCGTTCATCACCACTCCTGATTAAAAATGCTGTGACACACTTGCAAGCATTTGAAGCTGGCAAGGGGTGGCCCTTTGAAATAGTGCTGACGGCAGTTTAGTGCAGCAGCTTCCTTGAAAGGCATGGTTCACCATGCCTTGCCATGTGGCCTTCTGATTTTCCCAGCTAAAATAGGGTCTACCTAATCCCCCCTTGGCATGGTCAACCATCCCAGACATCCTGACACTTTCCCCAATGGAGAGATACTCCGAACAGGTGAGGGACTCAAAATAAGGGCCTCCTACCATAGCTTGCAACACAAAGTGAGTGGAGACAGGCCCTTTTGTAGGACTGTGCTTGAAGGGGGATTATTATTGTTTTTGGAGAGAAAGAAGAGCCCTAGGTCAGCTGGCCCGGCCCCTAACTCGAGGCCTGTGTTAATCCATGTGCGAATGCCAGTCGCCTTGGCCAAAAGCCCCCTCCACAAGCAGCTTTCTTTGAAGAGATGATACCCGAGCTCCCCCGCTGCGACCCTCACTACACTGTAGTCGACCATAAAACAGTAAGATGACTTTGGAAAAGCTGTTTGTAACAATCTTTAGATATTTAAGACACACATACTGCTTAATTACTCTAGAGGGAGAAACATAGACTGATCACAAACTACCCCCCCAAAAAAACTCCCAAAACTCACAATAAATCTTTGGCAACTTGAGAAAAAAATAAATATGCTCACCCGTCTACATCTCTGGCTCTGTGTATACAGTAAAATGAGACTGGCTAGGACCGAGCTTTAATTCCTGTCACCATTTGTTAATTATGGCCAGCACAGTTGTAATTAAAAGAGGCACCCATCCACCCTCCATAGCCAGCTGACACAGCCACACAGCTCAGCTGGCAGAGATGAACACAGCGAGTACAAACGCAGTCACCTGGCAGGAGCCAGAGCTGAGAGAAACTGTAGAAAGTAGTGACATCACTTTGGACAATGACAGGAATTTTCCATGGGCTACAAATCTCTGGGCTACAGGGAAATTCACTCTAATACAGAAAGGGCTGAACACACTTGTTTATACGTTGAAAAAAAAGGATATTTTCTCTTCTGCTTGTGAGTGTGGGTGTGTGTTTGTGTGTGTATGATGGCAGCTTCCTTTATTCGTGCTTGGAGGGATGAACATCTGTTGGGAATTTGAGGTAATTAGGTTAGTAGGTTGTCAGTGTTAGGAAATTGAAAGACAATCCTAATCAGATTTGTGTTTCTAGGGAATCAAATAATTTATATGAGAATATAAAATATATTTTTGAAGTGTCTTGGAAAAGTATTATAATCCTTTCTTGCCAATATTTATTAATTGCCACAAATAGGATTCGGTTTTTTCTTTTAGATAAAAAGCTGAAACATGTAAGGTTTAGTTATATTCAATCTCTCCACTTTGAAACTCATACATAAAATCTAGTGCAACAAAAAAGCTTTTAAAATAAATAAATGTGATTAATTTAATCTAAATCCATCTCTTCTATGAAGGACCTAGGAGTTGTTTTTAGAGAACTTGAGAGAACAAACAACATCATGAAGACCAAGGAACACAGCAGACATGACAGGGAGAAAGTTTTAGAGACGTTTAATGCAGGGCAAGAGTTAGACAATGACTAAAGCTATGGGCTCTATTGAATGCTTTCACAAATAATGGTGACCATACACATGAACTAATAGGCCAGACTGGGAGAGCACTAAGTAGCAGTCGCCCTCAAGAGGCCTACTGTATTGTGACTCTAGAGAGGCTGTAGATAGCCGCAACCCAGGTTGAGGGATTTGTTGACAGGTAAGGGCTACAATCCAGAAATCAAGTCTCTATAAGAAGGCCAATGTTAAATAGAACACAGCAAGTCTATTGATCAACTAATGAAGAAGGGTTCTTTGGTTTAACAAGACCAAAATTAAATCTGCATATTGGAGAAGTGAGGGATTTCCTTGCAGCTTGAAGGTCCTTCATTTGACATCCAGCATGAGGCTGTTCCTACATGTTCTCCTCAGATACATCATCTTACTCTCAGATAATTGGTCTCTTTAAATTGCCCTTATTTCTCAGTTGTTGCATACAAGGTTGATTATCCTGTGTGTCTGTGTTGCCATGTGACGAACTGCTGACCTGTCAAGGATGTACCAAGTCCATTCCCTAAATAACCATTGGGGATAGGTGTAACTGTTCTCTCTACCCCACAAACTTGCAAAGATAAGCAGGTATAGATAAGCATTGAAGGTCTGCATGCATAACACAATGTCAGGACAAAAAGCAACACTGCGCAAACCCTGAGGACTCCATCCACAGCATCATGCTGTGGTCTTGGCTGGCATATAAAAGCTGGTCAGGGTTGATCAGAGGATGGTTATCATAAGTATAAGACGATCCTGGAGGAAAATTTAATGGGGTTATTAAAGACAAAAAAGGTTACATTTTACTGAATGGACACATTCAATAAAATAAACTGAAGTTTTAGTTTTAACATGATAAAATGTCAGACATCTTTAGAGGCATATTGGAATGCTTTGTAATACCACCTCAAATTTATTCAAGAGAAGAGCTGGTCATGTCAGATAAGAGGTAGACATTTAGATATTTTGCATAAACCTTCTGTCGAGTCCCTTTTTGCTAAATGAAGGCCATCACTTCAGTCTTGCTCATCCGATATTTCTCCTTCCCTCTCATTCACTGAGCGACCTCTAGTTGTTTGTTCATGGGACACATCCAAACTCATCCTCTCCAAGAGCACTTGCTGATGGGTAAATTGTATTAGGCTCATTTGCAGTGGCCACACAATGTCCGGGTTTGACACCGTCCTCCCTGTTATAAAGTGATGAAATCATCAACGAAGTGCTCTGGCTGTGGGTGTTCTTCACTCAGAGGACGCAGAAAGCTGACAAATTAACTCCTCCTCTACCGCGAACATTTCATTGAGCCTTTTCCCGTCCACCCTTTAATATTAAATTTGTTTGCAGGAGTTACATTATGTATACAGATTGAAAGGATTCTCTCTCTTGACAGGATTAAGATTTAGGTTTCGCAACAGCGATGACACACAAGTATGAGTATCCAGGATATTAATGCTTGCATATAGTTGCATTAAATAACCAAGTACCTGTTCAGGGATATCAAAAGAAAGGAACAGCGTCTATGAAATATGTTAACAATGTTGAAAATTAATAGAAGAGAAAAGACATTCGAATAGAAGCCTTCTTATCAAATAATGAGATAATAAATAACTTATGTTATGATGAGGTTGGCTTGACATTTACAGTATCAGTGAGTAACCTGGCCCCCTAGGTGTGGTTTGGGGTGATAAGGCCTACATGCTGCTCCAGTGAAAGAGGGGTGAAATAGGGGTCTTTTATGGGAAAGCAATACCCAGTTATCTGTCTGCAATATGACAGTGGGAGCCTTGTACGTTATGTGTGTGGCTGGGTGTTTTCTCAGAGTCTCGGCTTGGGGTTTTTGTTTTGTGGATGTGAAGCAGAGTACAACTGAGCTTACAGATGTGAGCAAAGAGGCAGGTATCTGACAGCTAATTAGTATGCAGCCTGCCTCACCCCAAAAGCTAAATAATTAGAGGGCCAGTCTGTGAGATCATTGACCCTGCATTAAATATTCATATGTTTAGACCTGCTCTGGGCTCAGCTGTGTCACAGTAGACCAGCCAGGCATGGACCACATATGGGAAGGCAGCAAGGCCTCTGACACAGCCGTACAAACACACACAGACACCCTTAGGAATGCATTTTAACACACATATGCCAACATGTTGTCCTTTCTGTATCACTTAGACACAAGGAAGACAAAAATATTTTCATAATTTTTCAATTTTCAGCCAGAGTATATCACTTTACAGAACTACTTAACACCTGCTTAGAAAACACACTCATACTCCACTAAATTTTACACCATTTCTCTACAAAACTCAATGTATTTTGTTTTGTATTTTATATGGCCAATACAAAGTAATAGAAACCAAAGTTGGGCATGCTTTTGTACTCAGCCTGTTTATTCCACATTCCCTATGTCATGGTTAATTTGATGCCCATTCTGTCTCCTCTTTTCTAGGGGTTCGTCTGGACCGTGTACGAGGGGGCAGACAGAAGTACAAGCGGAGGCTGGACACAGAAAACAACCCTTACTTGGGCTTGACGCTCCCCCCACCTACCAAAAAGCCTCGTGAGTACTGCTCCATCACTAGCCCTTTGTGTCCCTCCTCCGTCGCCCCTCATCCAGCCGGCCAGCCTGCAGGTAAAGCTGAGGCAAAATTTTAGGCCAGACTCATGTTCCCTCGTTACTCACATGATTGGACGGTTGAGAGTTCATTTGTCAGAAATGTAGGCCATCTATTGTTCCGGCCAAAAGTAAATTATGTTAAGTCTCTGAACAGGTATTATAAAACTGAATGCTGGAGGAGACATTTTCACTCACAGATGTTCTTAAGTTACAACAAAATTCAATAAATGAAGTCCCATCATTTCTCTGATTCTATCTTTTTTTTGCGTTCATTAGTACTGTCCGTCTTTATGGCCTAGTGAGCTTCGCTTCCTCTTACCTTTGCATGTCTTCAATATCCTATTTCCCCCTCTTCTGTTTTCAGTCACAAAGATAGTGTCTCACCTGTTGGTGGCAGAGCCAGAAAAGATCTATGCCATGCCTGACCCAACCATGCCAGAGAGTGACATCAAGGCTCTCACCACGCTCTGTGACCTGGCTGACCGTGAGCTAGTGGTCATCATCGGCTGGGCCAAACACATCCCAGGTAAAGAAAAAACATCCTCAATCATGCTTAATCCCATTGTTAATCCCACCTTCATTTTCACTTTAGTGTCTGAATTTTCTTCTGCCTTAAGAAGGTTGGTTATTTTCCTGTTGGCTGGTATGATTTTGTCTAATTTGTCAACTAAATTTAAACACCAGAAGAGAACATGGGATTCCTCAAGGCTCTATTCTAGTGTCACTTTTATATAGACTAAATCTTTTTTTTTTAAACATAGCTGTGCTATAGACCTGCCCTCAAATAGGGTATATGATGATGACAGCCCCACAACATGACTTTCTAAAACTTTTTGAAGTCTACAGTAATTTGGGGCTGACCAGTTTTGCCAAATATCTAAATTGCAATTATCCTTTGCACTAAACACAAGCATGTTTATGTTTTACTCCAGGGTTTTAGTTTTTTCATGACCATGAAAGCCTGCTTGTCCAGAGTCCAGTGTTGCAGGACTTTACTGTAACATTTGCACAAATCAAGTTCTTACTTCTACTATAATGCATAGATCTAGGTGCTAGCTGCAACTCTCTTGTCCCTTCTGTGCAGCTTCATACCCACTTTAACGCCACCTAAAGGGCTGAAGGGAGAAAATGTAATTATAACATGTTTATTTTTTCCTGTGATAACACCTTTAGCAATGTATGATGCCATACAGATAGACTTGCTCCCTTTTAAAAAAAAGTAAATAAGCAATATGTTTGTTCCCTCTTGTAGTGTCTGTCAAATAAAAGGGATAAACCCTGAGCAGAGTTTTGCAAGACCTTAAAATAATGCATTTAATAGCCCTACACTGAATGGAAAAGGAGAAACTGGGAGATTTAAAACAAAGTTGGTGACCTGCCCAATCAAATAAGACATCATATCACACATGAGTGCACCAAAGAGCAGGAACACACACACATCTCTTGAATTATTGATAAGCATAATCATGTTTCTTCTGTGCCCCATAGACATAGTGATAGACGAGGTGTTAGGTTATAAGAGGCTGTTGAATTAAGGATACACCATTGAGAATACACCACCTCACGTCAGCAGAGATTTTGCTTCCTTCAAGAGTTTTCCTCTGATTTTGACAGAGAACATGATGTTTGCCTGCTCTTTTTTTGCAACTCAGGCAGATTTTGCTTGATCTTGCACTTGACCCCCATAACTCTACAGCATTACGATGCTGTAAGCGCAAAAGAGTAACAGACTAAATGACAGTGTCCCTGAGCGGCAACTCCATAACCTCCTCCTCTCATCAGCATAACGCAAACAGGAACACAGCTGTCATTGTGCAGAAAAGCTCAAGCAGCTGCATGCTTTTATCTTTTATCCGTAAGTTAAAAAGGTCATTTAAATCCAAGTTGATAAATTGAGAGTACTTATTTTCTAAAGGACCAATTGGAAATAAAGCTGACTCTTTTTTATATAGTGCCGAAAAGCTATTAGAGTACTTCTCAGAAGGAAGGGTATTAATCAGGTACAGATCTGATAGTAAGGAGATTAGAGGTGGATATGCTCCCAGGCCCTGGCCTCAGCTCCGGTCCCTTACATGTCTAAACTGTTTGGATCAGTCCGCACATGGCCATGCATGGTCAGCAGCCTGAGAGTTTAACCAAGGAGCTTACTGAGGACTGGATCACAGCTGACCCGATAACACACTCCCATCGATGTGACCCAAAAATTACGCCAGCGCCGCAGACATGGACAGAAATCCCATGACAATAGGATGTGAATGGTTGGATATAGGCTTCACTGACTTTGTAAAGGAATAAAGAGATGACCGCTGAGTATACATGAACCTAACTGATTTTTTTTTATTTGTATCATATTACTGAATCCTTTTTTATTTTTATACTCAATCTTTGATCTTACATCATAAGATGCATAACCAATATATTACACCTAAAAGTTTTTGTATGTCATCAAAGATACTGTTAATTATTTACTCTTACACATCACAGTTAATGCACAGGGCACAGATTCAATCTTTGGGCTCTTTGCCTAACACCATGGGATAAAAAAAAAAAAAAAACTAATGAGCAATATTAATTTCCCTCTAACTCTGCAAAGATTGTGATGTTCCTAAATTAGAACAGGTATCTGCCACTTAAAGGCTACACTGAATAATCTGCACTACCTGTGAGATGATAACCTTTAAGCAGATTATTTTGATCTCCTTCCTTGTAAACACATACAGCCTCGCACTAATACCTGTCTTTCAATTTGAAACGTTTTCATTGTTGAATCAAAAGTATATATATATTTTTATATTGTACAGCCTTTTAAGCTAAAAAAAGAAAGACCTATGCTTCCACTAAGTGGTTTGTCTGTGTCTGTCCCCGTGGTGGCGTTTGTATTAGGACAGTGGGTGTCCTCTGGCCATGAAATGGCTGCATAATTGAGTTGTACATGGCTGAACCTGATCAGAGACGGTTCACTGGTTGAGCGGGACTCCATGCGCTAACACTCCATGCACCGGCGGTACCCCAGGGCAGCCTACCATGCTCATCTCCTGCTATATTTCTCCTCCTTCACTACAGGACCAGACAGGAAAAAAATGCTGATTGTATTTTGATAGATTTTTGTGGCCTTGGGCAATGGAATTAAAAAGATTAACAGTTCATTACGAAGTAGAACACACTTATTAGGCCACTTACAGATGGGCCAATAACTAAAGTTCAAATGCAACAGTTTTAATGTTAGAAAAATTGGCACTTAGCTTCTCCCAGCTCCTTTTCAATTTTGTCTATTAACAGAGAATTTTTAAAATGTGTTTGAAAAGAGCCATAATGTGGAGAAGAATGGCCTATTCCACAGTAATGGGAGGAAGAGAGGAAGATAACAAGCTCTATGGGTCGTATGGTTATGGTCCAATGTCAGCTTCAGTTCTGAGCTGTGTAAAAAGGATTTAGCTTCCAGAACCTTGCAAAAGTATTCATACCGTTTTCAGCTTTGTATATATTTCTAATTTTGCAACAGTTTTTTTGTACTAATATTTAGTTTGGTTTTATAACAAAGACCAAAATAAATTGGATTAAATGGGAAAATCACATAAAATTTGAGCTGCAAGTGCTTCATGGTGTTTGTATTTTTTTTTTCCCTGTTGTTGAACAACAGTTCAAGCCCATCCAGATTACATTAAAAAAGTCATTCAAATGATGATTTTAAATACATTTGCCAGAGTCTAATTTGATTTAGCTGTGGACTTTGACTGTGCCATTCTAGGATGTGGATATGCTTTGATCTAAACATTTTTAATGCATCTGTTCACCTTATTTTAACTTTCTTGCTGGTAGGTGATCCCCCTTTTTAAAAGATTCTCCCACCTTAATTTTTGATCTTTGCCGCTCCTCCAGAGTAATCATTGGCCTCTTAAGTGCTTCCATTGACAATGCTCTCACTGTCCAGCATGTTAATTCAAGATCACCCTGGATGATCATATCTTCTCTGGCTAGCTGGTTTTCCATCTGATTTTTAAAAAATAGGCTAGAACCTGCTGCGATATGACAAAGGTTGAGATACATATTTATAAGCTAACTCTGCCTATAAACTTCTCCATAACTTTCTCCCTAACCTGTCTGCCTAGTTTTTTTGTCATCATATTTCTGTTTGTTCATTAATGTAACAAACATCATGCTGACATGTCAGTCAGCTTCCCAAATACAACCATAAGGCACAGCCTTCAGCCGGCTGAGGAGGGGGTGCAGGGTCATAAGGAGGAGCAGTGTTCCAGAGATGCTGACAGATGGGTTGTTGCTCCTAAGGTGTTAACAGCCTTTGACACACACTGCTGTGTACTGTCCACCCCCTTTGGCCTTTTCCCATCACATAAAGCTGAATTCCACTCTGCCTAGGTATTTTACAGAGGATCTAAATAAACTCACAGCTTCTGGGCCCTAAAACCTCCTCACTACATTGACACTGCTGCCTACCTGAGAGTGTGACTGTCCTGGATACCTCCCCCCTGCTGTTCTGAAGTCATGTGAAAACTGGCATGTAGGCCTTTTGTACAAGATATACTTGTTCATCAAGCTGCAAGCTATGGTAGCTAAACACCAGTTTATGTTTTCACATAACATTAACAAATTTTCAACACCCATACAGTGTTTGATCCATCATATAGTATAGAAATAGTGTTTCTCAACTTCAAAGACAAAAGTGTATACCTTACAGCCTGGGAAAGCAGTTGGTTAAGCAGAGAACCACCCAAAATAGACATTGAGGAGCTGCAGAGATCCATGGCTCACTGTTTAGAATTTCTGACAGGTCCAATTATTGATCAACAGATCTGGCCTTTTTGTAAGTGTACTCTTAAGAAAGGACATTTATAAAAGTATTTTTTTTGCAGTTTCCCACAAACCAGGTAGGGGACACAGCAAACAGGAGAAAGGGGGTATAGACTAAATTAAAGTTTTTTTTGCCTGGATGTAAAAAATGTATCTGTGATTTATCTTGCACATCAAAACATCTCTGAACAAAAAACAGAAGGAATGGAAACATGATGGTGGCAGCATCATGATGTGGGATTTCTTTTCTTCAGAGGGACAGGATAGTGCATCAGGGATTCTAGGAAAATAGATCCAGCAAAATAAACTTTAAAATACCTTTTTGAGGCATACTTTCTCATTCAAGAAGGACACCCCCCCTTGTTATCAAAGTCTATTCTTCATATCTTAAAATGGTCCGGTCATATTCCATACCTAAACCTGTGACAAGACTGGTCAACTAATCTACCTAAGCTGAAATAGGCAAAAATTCTCATGTGTAGACATGTAGATCTGGTAAAACAAAAAAACCCTCAGACAAATGTCTTTTACTTAGATGTTTGTTTTTTTGCATCATTAAGACACCACACTTCTCATAGTTTACATACAAGATATCTTAAAAATAGTCCTTTGAACTTTATATAATTATTCTTAACAATAGTTCTGTATTTATTGTCTGAGATTTTTGCCAATAGAAGGTAATGTAGTCTGCAATGCTTTATCACTGGTGTTATGGGA